AGGGCAGCTAATTTGTTCTATAAATATATCTTTAGTACTTTTTTGTGTTGAGAATTTTACCGAGTTTTGATTCGCAAAGTGATATTGATTTTATTCGTTAATGTATTAGTACGTAAAACGTAATGACGTATTAAACACTTCCGGTTCCACTTTTGACAAGTTTTGACAATTTGTAACTTTTAACGATGTGTGAAAATATCCAGCTGATGTTTGCAGTGTTGCGAATTGGAATATATTCAGTAAGTTTGAATTGAAAAGTTTGCAATTATTTCTATTAGCGTCAACCTGTTCGTCTAGTTCTGGCTGCCAAAACATTTTAGGTCTTTAGGATAAACATTTTTTTGTTTCGTTTGATGCGGCATTGGATCAGACCTGTTATGAAACGGTAAAGGGTCAACTCGGCCGTATACCAACTCGGCCATCTATTAAAAACATATATTAGATTATAGATTGTTTAGTTAATAAAAATTTTAAGGAGAAAATTACTATAAAGTTTTTCAGAAATATGATCACTTACAAACAGAAATTGTAAAAGTTGTCAGTGTACCTGTACATATTGTTTGAAATTATCTTTGTTAAGAAGGGATATCAAGATAATATATGTTAAATATTGATCAATAAATAGAGTTTTTAAATTGAATTTTTGTGACAATAAATGTAGACTCACAGGACCCATGCTCGCCCAGGCGCATGCTCGCCCAGATTTATATTTTTATAATATAAACTTATGAATAAAAATATTATCTGAATCATGTGTTGTTGTTTCTTGATGCTGCAAGTGTCCTAGTTTCTCACCTTGTTTTTGAAGAGTTTACCGGAAGTTGTTATCATAATAAAGCAGACGAAAACGGAAGTACAAAATTAATGAAAGTCCGTGATGCTAATAAAAACAACGAATCATGTATGACTTTTTAATAAAATCTGAATAAAAATCAACTTAAAATAACAATTAAACATTGTTCTTACTTTTTGTAAAGTTTAAGTCGTTCCGATATATTTAAAACAGTCATAAACTGGTATTGACACCAGCTGTCATATTGTTTTTCTACATGCAATTTCCAGGGCCGCCACAATAGTCAGCTTTTTTCATTAAATCTGTCGCTTTTGATGCATTTATTGTGTATTTTTTGGTAACACATTGATATATTAACAACTTATTAGATAATTAACAAAAACTGTAGCTTTAAATAAAAAATAAATTACATTTTCCCTTTTTTATCAAAAGTGCCTAAATATAACCTTTAGGTCTAACACTACTAATTTTTCCCCATCCTCTTCAGAGTGATCAGTATGCCCAGGCAACAAAAAATTCATGATCCTGAGACATTTGAAAGGGCAAGAATCTTAGCTTTTAAAAGAGGGATATTCTTTACATAAAGCTGCAAATGAGTTAAATATCCCTTACAGTACACTAAAAGACCATATAAATGGACAGTATAAAGGATATACAACACAATTTGGTCAAAGTCCATTATTAGATGCTGCAGATGAATTGACTGTAGTTAATTATGCAACATATATGGCTTCAAGGGGTGTACCCCTGACAAGACCAGTTCTAAAAAGAATTGCCCTAGAGATTATTTTGCAAAGAGGGGGAGATTCTAGGGTTAATGTAACAACTGGACCTTCTGATAAATGGGTAAGGAAGTTTCTTCAGAGGCATCACACTTTATCAGTGCGTATAGCACACCCTCTTGAGCAAAATAGAGTCAGTTTGTCTCAAAGTACTGTAAATGATTATTTTGACTTGCTTGGAAATACTCTGAACAAATTGAATTTAAGTAATGAACCATCCAGGATATATAATTGCGATGAATCTGGATTTTCAGGCAAGCTAAATCCAAGCAAAAAAGTTATTGTGCCAAAAGGTACAAGGCATGCATACCAAAGTATGGTAAACCTTTCTGGTCATGTTACACTTTTAAATGCAATATCAGCAGCAGGTCAGACCACTCCACCAATGCTTATCTTTTCTCAGTGTCTACCTCGGATGGTCTGTGATGGTATGCCTGATAGCTGGACATTTGTTACAACTGAAAAGGGTTACATAACTACAGATCTATTTGTCCAATGGTTTGAACATAGTTTTGTTCCATATATTGGTGACAAGCGCCCTGTTCTTCTCATACTAGACAATCATGCAACACATGTATCCAAAGTATTCATTGATGCAGCACGTAGACATACTGTAGATTTGCTATATCTACCAGCACATTCTTCCCATCTTTTACAACCCCAAGATGCAGGATATTTTCATGTTTTGAAGCAAAAAGTTGCTGACATTTCCACCCAGCTGGGTTATCTTGGAATCAAAACACTACCTAGACATCTTTTCCCGAGGGTGTTAATGCAGGCTTTCAATAAAACTTTAGGCAGCACTGTAGCATCAGCTTTTAAATGTACAGGAATATTTCCTTTCAACGAAAATGCTGTAAAAGCTCTTATTCCTGACACAAAACCTAAACAGTCAACACCTGAAGCAGCCAAATCTGTTCCTATTGAAAGTAAATCTGTATGTGAACATTGTGGACACTCTAAGGAAAATGCTCTTGTTAAACTAGGTATAATATCTGAGGATCTGAGTTCAATATTAGTTGAACCTCCTATTCCTAACAAGCAAAAGTCTGCATCCAAAAGGAAAACATATAAAAATGCAAGATCTGTTTTGCACAGTGAACCTGAAAAGAAAAAGAAAAAAGTGAACATTAGAAATGATGAGTTGTCACTTACGAATAACAATGACACACAATTGTTACCTGCATCTGATGACAATCAACAGGACCAGCTTGACAATGAAGAAGTTTGTGTTGTATGTATGGTTGGTGACAGACCAGAATATTCGTGGGTAGGGTTTGACAAATGTGACAAGTGGTACCACTATGAGTGCTTGCCATCTTATGTGCAAACAGATGTAGATCTAAGTTTAGTTACCAGCACAAGGTGGCTTTGTAGATATTGTGCAGAGGAGTAATTATTGAAACTATAGACCACACACTGTTGTTCTTGTTATAGTTTATGTTACTAGTTAACTTTTTGAATTTGAAAAAAAAACTTATGTACATGATATTTAGTCACAGAAACCTTTTAGTTACACTCTACCCGCAGCAGTTGACTATTTTCTGAAAAAATGAAAAGTCTACATAGTAAGTAAATCTTAATAAGTTTAACTCTGTAAAAATATAATTCTATGCAAAATTCTAACACTATCGGATTTTTTTTCTATATAAACAAAGAAGGCCCGAAGCGTGCATTATTCTTCAACAATGCACTCACCGTTCTTATTACCTCCCTGTGTATTTTCACATTGAGGGCGCCATTTTGTTTAAAAAATCTGATAAATAAAAACATTTTTTGTCGAATTTTGTTGTGAAAGCTATCTAGAATGAAAGAAAATGGTCTAACTAAGAAAATGAATCCGAACACCAATATCTTTAATTCAGTCGTTAACGCTGTACAGACGTTTTAAGTGTTGTTTACGTGACGTCACAATGTAGCGCCAAACAGCACGTGCAAAACAATCAAATCAAGTACGCTATTTTAAATGTCGCAAACGAGTTAAGTTTAACATTTATTTCACTTAATTATTTGTATTTCGCTTGAAAAATTATAAAGTGAAATAAAATAAACAAACAAAGTTTTTCCAACGTTTTCAAAATTGGTTATTCTCAAAATGTTTCTACACACGGTAGATTTAACGACAGTTTTTTTCAACCCACTGGAACAGCCTTTAAAGAACGTTTCTATGGGTTTGATATAAAGTTATATCATTGGATTTTTTTCTAATTTTATTTCACAAAATATACATGTACACCTTTATATGTACATGCATATACATGTATATGGCACGGAAAATAAACAAATGTGTATTTGAAAGTCGCTATGATGATATTTAATTAAGTATTAGTTGCTCAATGAAGTTTATTTAAGCATTTGATTTACATCTACACAACAGTTTTTAATTTCTTTTTTAGGTTCAACAGTTTCTGACTCTAACTTTTAAATGCAATTAATTAAGAAGAAAAGTTCTTTAATTCATAATAATTATCCAAATTTTATCAATTTACATCAGTTTTAATGATGAATATTATTGTTATAGCCATAATATACAGTTGTAATTAATTATTATCATAAATGTAATGTTGATAACAAGAATGGACAGGAAAAACATACATGGGATATTATAAATAAAAAAAAACATATAGGGGAAATAGTAAATCAAACAAAACGTATCATAGGGGATATTGTAAATCAAACAAGACATATAGGGGAAATGGTAATTTAGGGAATATTGTAAATCAAACAAAACGTACAGGGGATATTGTAAATAAGACACAAATAAATATGTTTGAGGTAACTTAATTATCAATTAGCTAGCTTTTTATCATCTGCTACATTCATATCAGGGTCTTTCACAGCTTTAATTTACCGAAAATTTTACGTACAATCAATGCCCTATTTTTAGCGATGTGGATTTCCAAGTGTGAATTCCAAGTGTCGCTATGGCCACGCTTCAGCGCAAGTGCTAATTACGTCAAATTACATCTGCCTCCAGGCAGTATTATCCAGACAGAGTGGTGAAATATACATGTCAGACAGACCTTTCATAGAGCGACTAGAATATTTCGCTTTTCCGATCATATAGGGCAAAGTGAAAATATTTACAGGGAAGTTTTCGCCTGACTTCGCCCTGAATGCAGTCCCTGTTTTTATAGTAATTTCAACAGAGAAATAGTCTGAAGCTGCATGTGACTTTATATCACATTACTATTATAGGTTTTTGGTGACTTACATTTTAATAGAATGAAAATCTGGAAAAAATATTTACAATCACATCATGTCAAAAAACTTCAGTGAAGGATATAGATTGTTTATAAAATATTGAAAAGAAAACACTCATATTAGCCTGGGCCTATGTATAAACATTTTTTTTCAAAGATTGTAATACCAATTAATTGTTGATAATTACGTTGCTAAATTATGTTTTTGTTTTTTTCTTCCAGATATTTAGAAGAATATGTGGATTGGGACCTCCACCAGTTCGCCCAAATTTTACGGTCTTGTGTCTTGGCTTAAGTAAAAGTGGTAAAAGTACATTACTTGCTAAAGTAAGTGGAGAATCAACAGATGAAATTGAGCCAACAGTTGGTTAGTTATCATTTTGATCTTATTTAAATAGCTCTCATGATTTTATAACAGGCCCATTACATATATATATAGAAACAGTATCAATCTGATCTGTGTTTATTGGCATTTTAACACCATTTTTTTCTTCTTCTTTGTGTATAGTGACTTCAGTTATAATCTAAATTTGATATTTACAAAACCCAATGGGAAATATCAGGACAAATATTTTAACCTGTTATGATCAGTTCGTTATGATGCATTTGAAGTATTTTGAATGAGATAATATGTTACATTGAGATGATAACAAAAAAATAATCTATGTTTTTGTTATTTTTAGTTCAAGTTGAAATAGTTTTTTTTAGTTCAAGTTGAAATAGAAGATTCTTTTACTCTTGAAAATATTCTGATATAGATGTGTTTATGTTTCAAGAGCTTTTTGTTTTTCAGGTTTCAGCATTAAAGCCTTAATGTTTGACGAATGCTTTATGGATGTCAAAGAACTTGGTGGTTAGTAGGAATATTTATTACCCTCTAAATCTGTTTAGTGAACATTGAAATTTTAACTGTCCAGAGTATATTAAAAAATTTAGGAGTCAAATAATAAAAATGAAGCAGTCAGGAGTACAATCAGACAGCACATTTGTGTGTACTTCATGCATGGCTTAGACTGATGGCATAGACCTAAGCTTACCATAGACTGTTCCTCTATCCAATTCAACCCGGCCTTGGTGTAACACTGGTTAAAGTTTTGCATGCAACAACATATCTCATCAACCACTCATGATATTTGCTTGTAACTTCATACACTTATTTGAGAGCATGAAAGGAGGTCACTATCCAAGGCCCATAACTCTAGCTTGGATTTTGACAGAATTATGATCCATTTCAAATTTAGAAAATTTTGCATGTAACATCAAACTTTAACTCTACTGAAAGTATTCAGGCCAAAATAAAAAATATGTCTGGTTCAGGGAACCCGACCGACCCTATTTTTTTACCGCCGACCCTAAACTTTTTTTTTGATTTTCGGTACGAACATTTTTGGGTACGAAAATTACAAATGTGAAAATTTTGTTTTACGATGCCTGTTGAAATAGCCGATGAGTAACAATCTTAAAATAATCAAAAAATATTTAATCTTTTATGATCAAAATCAACAACAAGTAGAATTGTGAATGTTTCTGCAGGAAACAGACAAATTTTCAATTGTCACATATTTTCGCGATGCCGCTTTTTATAATTAAAAAAATCGTAGCAAAAGGAAGATATGTTCTGTTAAAATGTGTTTAATAACACTTAAAATATATTTAAGAATTAAATTAATTATTAATAGTTGAGATGGAGCCATTACCAGTATGTGTTTGTAACAATAATGAATATTTTCTTTTTTAAGGGAGGGGGGTGTAAGGTCTGATGATGTATGGGTTTTGAATTATATTTCAAATCTTTTCAATCACTTTTATGGTACATTTTTTTCCATTTGGGACATATTACCATTTTCCTGAATAAGCCTTTTCTCTGTTCAAACTCTGACTCCCCAACCCCTTACTCTGCTATACATGTATCATATTTGTCAATTTAACTGCATATAAGTGCAGCAAAGATGGCTTAACATATTCAATGTGATCTGGAACTCCTACTTTTTTGTGCTTGGGAGTCTCAAGACTCCTTCTCTGTGAGAACCCTGCAACTGTTGGTACCAGTTGCACATAATTATATATCTATAGACTTGTGCCCCCTGAAGACCATTTAAATATGTTTATTAATATTAAAATTATATATACAGTAGATGTGTTATTTTGATCCCCGGAATAGTGCATGTCAGATGCTCTAAGCTTATAATACAGCATTATTAGGCCAAAATAAAAAATATGTCTGGTTCAGGGAACCCGACCGACCCTATTTTTTTACCGCCGACCCTAAACTTTTTTTTTGATTTTCGGTACGAACATTTTTGGGTACGAAAATTACAAATGTGAAAATTTTGTTTTACGATGCCTGTTGAAATAGCCGATGAGTAACAATCTTAAAATAATCAAAAAATATTTAATCTTTTATGATCAAAATCAACAACAAGTAGAATTGTGAATGTTTCTGCAGGAAACAGACAAATTTTCAATTGTCACATATTTTCGCGATGCCGCTTTTTATAATTAAAAAAATCGTAGCCAAAAGGAAGATATGTTCTGTTAAAATGTGTTTAATAACACTTAAAATATATTTAAGAATTAAATTAATTATTAATAGTTGAGATGGAGCCATTACCAGTATGTGTTTGTAACAATAATGAATATTTTCTTTTTTAAGGGAGGGGGGTGTAAGGTCTGATGATGTATGGGTTTTAAATTATATTTCAAATCTTTTCAATCACTTTTATGGTACATTTTTTTCCATTTGGGACATATTACCATTTTCCTGAATAAGCCTTTTCTCTGTTCAAACTCTGACTCCCCAACCCCTTACTCTGCTATACATGTATCATATTTGTCAACTGCATATAAGTGCAGCAAAGATGGCTTAACATATTCAATGTGATCTGGAACTCCTACTTTTTTGTGCTTGGGAGTCTCAAGACTCCTTCTCTGTGAGAACCCTGCAACTGTTGGTACCAGTTGCACATAATTATATATCTATAGACTTGTGCCCCCTGAAGACCATTTGAATATGTTTAATATTAAAATTATATATACAGTAGCTGTGTTATTTTGGTCCCCGGAATAGTGCATGTCAGATGCTCTAAGCTTATAATACAGCATTATTATTATATTGTTACAGAGGTGACCCTTGATCTTTTAATTGTCAGACCTGTCAGATGCAGGTTAGCATAGTACAGCGGGTGATTCAAAGGGAAAAGGTACATAATAAGCAGAATAGAAAGCAAATTAGTATGAATACAGGTGCTACATGGTTAAATGACTACATACAAGAAATAAACAACACAATATCACATGTTGATGGTTTATTACAAAATGGTGTATGCATTGATTGATTACAATCTTTGTTTAAGTATGTTAAGCAAGCAACACATCTATATATGGAAATTAAGACATTCTCCCAACCATAAAAAAAAAAAAAAAAAAAAAAAAAAAAAAAAAATCCCTACCCTCCTGATTTTTTGGACCAATGTTTCCTGAACCAGACATATTTTTTTTTTTGGCCTCACTTGAATCTTGATACATCACTTTGGGATCATAATTGGTGGTCATGTCCTAGCCCAATAACCCTGACATGATTTTCATTGAATTATGGGTGTTTTGGCATTTAGAAAATTTTGGTTTAAGTTTTGCTTAAAACACTTATCTTTCATAAAAATGCTGATTATATTCACTTGAAACTTGATCATACAATGCAAGGTCACTTTCCTAGACCCGTAACTTTGGCATGGTTTTTAATTGAAATAAAGCCCTTTGTGGCTTCAATATCCAAGACTCATAACTATGCCATGTACATAATCTGTATTTTTGTGAATAAAATCTTCCTCTTTGTTTATTTCTTACATTTTTTTCAGGCTCTTTTTTGATCAAGCCCTAAGAATAGTACTGTAGCACACTGTCATACTGACATCTTTTGTTTTATGTTAAAATTATCTCCTGTTTATTAAATGTATTTTTTTTTAGATTTGATGAACGTTTAGATAAATTCCAGGATATAGTTTATATACATAAATTAGAGAGCTCACAGTATATATATTAGTCTCTAATTATTGTAAATGTGTGAAGAATATAACTTGTTTGATGCAGAATGAAAAAAAAAAATTTTTTTTATTGATTTGTTGCTATGCAACAAAATTCATAGAAATTGATGAAATATTTCACAGGTTGTATCAGATATTTTACAAGTAGAAATTTCTGACTGCTCTATGGAGTATGAATATATCTATTTGCACTATAATGCAGTATATTAGAAGAGTTTGTGTGTTATTGCATGTAAAGGCTGTACTGAATTATAGGTTAATAAAACAAAATTTCTCTTGGCATTGATTCAATAGCCTTTGGTAAATTGATATATAGAAGTTAACTTATTTACAGATCTTAAACACATGTTAACAGTTTATAATTCACTAAAAGATTTTTCTATAACATTCCAGGGCTCTGTAAGTTTATTATCAGGTGTTCAAATGTTACAATATTAAAGACCAATTATGGACCAGAAATGATCTTTTTATTTCTTACCAATTTTGAGCAATTGTTATGAGATTTCACAACGATCCAGTTATGGTTTAAATAACAATGTCTAAATGCATGCAATATTGTTAATTGATCATAGAAAGTCATCATATTACATAATAGCATGGTGGTCTTAATTTCAGATAGAAAGACCTTTGAAATACAAAGAATTAAATCCATTCTTTTAAAAATTGGTCTTAATTGTGGATTGGTCGGGAAAACAAGATGTTGTTTACCTTACAAATTAGATATTTTTGCTTCCTTCTTTATATGAAAATGAGCCGTCTCACGACAAAACCAACATAATGCGTTTGCGACCAGCATGGATCCAGACCAGCCTGCGCATCCGCGCAGTCTGATCAGGATCCATGCTGTTCGCTTACAAACCCTAAAACAAGTAGAAACTGATAGCGAACAGCATGGATCCTGATCAGGCTGCCCGGATGCGGAGGTTGGTTTGGATCCATGCTGGTAGCAAACCCATTATGATGGTTTTGTCGTGACACAGCTCAAATGTTTATTTCAGGTGGAGATAATGTACGACCGTACTGGGACAGATATTATACAGGTGGTGATGGTGTGATATTTGTAGTAGACAGTTCAGCTGATGATAAAACAATGGAGGTGGCTAAGAGTGAGTTTGACAAGGCACTCAGTCATCACGAGCTAGATGGTCTACCGTTACTGTTTCTGGCTAACTATCAGGATGTTCCTGGTGCTAAGAGTGAAGCACAGGTAAAGTATAAAGTTCTTGCTGAAATTAAGTGAAGAAATTTTAATAGTTTTACATGTCCAGATTCGCTATAATTTTTATGGAAATTATAAATGATTCAAAACAGTATAAAGCGTGAGTCAAAATTTTAATTTAATTTTAAATTTTAATTCACTAATTGAAACTACTCTACATGTATGACATTAATGATGTATAAGAAAATTACTTATAATGATCCAAAATATGTAGAAATAGTATTTACTGTACTAAAAACAGTACAGAAATGTGGTGATGAAATGCTTGATTAAACCATATCGCTCTTTTACATGCGAAGTGTCACTTTTCTGAAAACAAAAATGTCTGATTGTCTGGTTTTCTTTAACATTGTTTTTTTGCAATGTAAGTGCTTATTTAGTCATAATGTATGACTGACAGACCAACACTTTGCAAGTTGGATCCTGTTAACATCAGCATATTGTTTATGTGACAACTGCCTTTTTGGATGTAGACATTGCTAGTATAATATTACTATTGCTACATACATAATCAAGAGAAATGATGAAAGTTGATGCTTGCCTGTGTATTTATATAACTGTAACACAGCTGAACAGGTGCCAAAATAACTAAAACAAGCAAACCAAATGGTATTGGGTTTATTGTAAATGATATTTTCAGATGAAGCAGATATTTGATCTAGACAGCCAGGATCGAGCCTGGATCATTCAGGGATGTACAGCATCAGACAAATCTAGTATAGAGAAAGGCTTCCATAGATACAACGCACTTCTTATTTCACCACCAAAGGAGAATGGAGAGTTTGACAGGATATAAGTGTTGATCTGACATCTCAGAAACTGCTGTTGTATATGTGTGTTACTTTTGTAAAGTCTAAAAATGAAAATTACAAAAATGAGTTAATGTTAAAGGGCCTAGATGTATTTTAACCAAGATTAACAATCTTAAATTTAGACATAATCTTAGATAAGTTAGCCACTGTTTGATTTTTCTTCACCAAGAATGCACATATTTTAATGAAACTTTCCAGAAATGTACATCTCACAGGCACTTACATAATGTACATCTCAATCAATACTCGTCAGGATCTATTACAAATGAAACAAACTACAGCAAAATAAAATGAGCAGTTTATTGTCTTTAACTTGAATTTTTACTTTCTTAAAATATTAAAATAACGATGATAAATATAGCCCTTTTCATAGTATCATTGTAATGTTAAGTCTTAGTCATGAAACTTTTGAATATTTAAAAAGATCAAGGTAAAGAATGTACAGTCACTGCATGTTTGTACATGTGTATATACCATAGAAAAAAATCTGATCAAAAATAGTATAGTATTTGAAGATAGGTAGTTTTTAAATGTATATAAATATTGATCCTAAATGAGAAACAAGTGAAATAAAATGTTTAACAGAATGTTTATGATTGAAACTTCTCAGTAATGTTTATTAGACTAATATTGTGTTGATTATTTGTTTTGTTGTATACAACATCGACAGTTTTAAAAGATTTATATTACATACATGTATGTTAACAAGTATTTTTTTCTAACATTATTTTCCACTATGAATATAATTTGTTACTGAAACCAGTTTAAATCCATCACATCACATGACCTGTTTAGAGGGAGTTAAAGTGTGAAAGATCAGTTTGATATCTTGTCACAGATTTAGGCATGTATCAATGATATACAGCCATCTTTAAAACAGTGTCTATTCTAGGATTTGAAAAACAGGGGGGATTTTTTTCGAAAAGATAGAATTTATTACATTTGTTGATTTTTCCCCCTTCTTTCTCTCTGTAAAATTTTCCAATTTTGACACTGTTACATTCATACCAATGGTGTTGCCAATTTTGACACTGTTACATTCATACCAATGGTGTTGCCAATTTTGACACTGTTACATTCATACCAATGGTGTTGCATACGAACACAGTCAGACATTACTATTTTTCCCTAAATCAAAATGTGACATTGATTCATATTATTATTATATTATTAATGCTTTTGTTTGAACTTGAATTGGTAGTGAAAAAAAACCTAATTACTTATTGTCCGGATAACTGGGTGTAATGTAAAGAGCATGTTTTGATATCTGGCCTTTAATTGGGTATGCTACATATGTTACATATAGACATAATGAAAACTGTATTACAAAAGTAATTTAATTTTTTATGATCTTAAAAAAATGAGAACAAAGACATATAAAGAATAAAAAGAAGAAGAATAAAAAAACACGAAAAAGTTTGTGACCGCCAAATTGAGAGAAGTACACAGCAACACTAAATGAATCGTGTAAATTTCCAAAGTTTCTGCTTATATTTATCTTTATACTGGTTTTATTTATTTTTTTCATTGGTATTTTCTTGTATTAAATAGTTTCAGTATTTTTTAGCATAATATTTTCACCTGAAGTAATTACAAGAAAGATGTTTTTCACCACAGAATCTGCACAAATGATCATATATTTACTTGTATTTACTATTTTATTCATATAATGAACATTAAGCTTTATCTGTAAGTATTTGTTTACATTTATTTTGTAACTGTTTTTAATATTATTTGTATTATGCTTTACATGTAAGACATGTCTATTGTTTTTTCTGTGCTTCATTACAATTATGTTTGTATTTTTTTATATATATGCCTAAAGGTTACTTTGGTTGTAAAATGGTATTGCACTTGTCAGTCCACTAATCTGTTAGTTTGTCTGTATTATGGTATGGTGCTTGTTCATCAGACTGTTTGTTAGCCTCATCAAAGTCCGCTCTCAATAATTTGATAACTATTAGTTATGCTGTCTACATGCTTATTAGGGAGATTGGTCATGGCCAGTACATGACCTGTAATGATTTTGAGGTCAAAGGTCAAGGTCACAGTGGTACTTGGTGTAAAGTCTTTGTCAACTCAATTATTTGAGAAAGAATGGATGTTGATTTGTAAAACTTGGTAGGAACATTGCAAACAGATCACCCTTATTGATTTTGAGGACATTAGGTCAAAGGTCAATGTTACAGCAACTCAGTGTTAAATCATTGTCCAAGGAAGAATTATCTTAGAGTTTTGAAACTTGTATTGACAATGCCCATGGCAAGTTGATGGCACCTTTTGATTTTTAACTAATTAGGTCAAAGTTCAAGGCCATATTGACTCTGTAAATCCTTGTCAAGTCAAAAGTTTGTTCTGATTGCTTTCTTACATATATTTTTTCATAATTTCTGCAGATATTTTTTGATTCAGAAATATATTTAGGAATATAAGAAAACATGTATTGGGAAATAAGAGAAACAATATGTAGCTTGGTAACTTGAATAACAAACTTTGATTTGTGATTTCTTGTCAACTGTACTTAGATAAATTATGTTTTGAAAATATTTCATGAATGTATCTCTATTTTATTTGAAAGATTTATTTGATTCTTTAAACAAATTTGCATTTTGGGTGTATATTGCCTCACCTTTGTGATGTTCTTGTTTTTCAAAAAGTTGCTGATATGATTTCCAGTATAACATGTGCCATTACTTTTTACTGCATATTTTGTTTGCCACTCAACATTTTTACGGCATTATAAACAATTTGTTCACATTATTGATAAAGGATTATAATAGTTCTTATATACACACAATTTTTGATATAACTGAAGTGTTAAATTCTCATAGACACCAGTTGTAATTTGAGTGGAAGCAAGTATAAAATAGTAAGAAAAAAAAAGGTTTTATTCTTTGTAAATGGATATTTTCCCAAGTAAACATTATAATTAGAGTTAGTTTACCTAAACTTGAGTCTCATAGCTTCTATTGCTTAAATGAAGGAATATATACTGAATCTGGTCTAAAGGTACATGTATAAAAAATACATGAGAGAATAATCTAGCATGGCAAATTGACATTTATGATTAGCAAGCATTTTATTTTATTGTAAAGTTTTAAATATTTATTACTATGTTGTTTATGTATGTATTTCTAACTTGCTGACTAACTTTTCTTTGTTGTACAGTAGTTTAGTAAGCAATTCTTTATTGTTAATTTTATTTTCATTCCACATTCATCATTCCATGCTATCTAAGTTTGTTTGAAGTTTTGGTTGACATTCAGTTATCATGATACATGTAGTTGAAAGACATGTTGATAATTTTTTTACTATCAGGCAGAGATTATTAAGCAAGAAGGTGGTAGCATTTAAAGTCAACAGTGTTGAGATTTTAACCTTGAATTTCACTCTATGTAATAACTTATCCTGTGGTTGTCCTAATACATGTTATGTCATGTTTCTATTTGATCTGCTCATTATTTTAAGGAATTTCAAAATAAGCCAGACTGAAGTGATCTGATGGTAAGACTTCATACTGATAGATTAGGCAAGTCTATCATGCTCAAATTTAATTTCTTCTAAAGAAAGGCAGCTTCTGTATAATTTTGTGATATTTTATTCTTTTTTCTTTCTTTTTTTGTGTGCATTTTTTTTTTCGTTATTATAAATTGTTTGTATTTCTGAGAAGAATCAAAATTGGACATATGTTTGATTATTTCATTCAAAAATATCAAGTCATGATTTTATTCATTTTGTTTAATGTCCAATGTGATAGATAATGTGATAGATAATGGAGAACATTCTAATACTGGTTAATTTTGATAAGAGTGGACCGTTTCAAGATTGAAAGTCTGTTTTTATTCACGTTGCCTTTGTGATTTTTAAAAATGAATTATTTATGAAATATGAATCTCTTGGAATATCTGTTTTTGACTTGAAGCATTGTTGTTTTATTTGAAAGATCGTCCCATATATAATCTTTCTTTAATCTTATTTTTCATTTGAATAATTTATTATGTGGTTTCCGGTATACATGTAGGTAAGAAATCTATCAACCTTAGACAACTCTCAATATCTTTCCTGTTTTTCCTAATGATGAAACTCAGCACCTAAATAGAATATTAAATGAATTCAATTATAATGAAAACTATGCTTGAAATAGGATTAAATTGATTTTCAGAAATTTGATTTATATTGTGTGAAGCTGACATTGTGATATGTATTGAAATTAAAAGGAAATGTGAGATTTTTTAGCTATCAAACAATGTTAATTCTTGCCAACAATTACTTTTTAGCTCACCTGTCACAAAGTGACAGGGTGAGCTTTTGTGATCGCTTTTCGTCCGGCGTCCGGCCGTCGTCCGTCCGTAAACTTTTGCTTTAAATGACATCTCCTCATTAACCACTGAGCCAATTTCATCCAAACTTCACAGGAATGTTCCTTTGGTGGTCACCTTTAAAAATTGTTCAAAGAATTTAATTCCATGCAGAACTCTGGTTGCCATGGCAACCGAAAGAAAAATCTTTAAATATCTTCTTTTAAACAACCCTAAGAGCTAGAGCTTAGATATTTGGCATGAAACATCTTCTAGTGAGTGTCTACCAAGTTTGTTCAAATAAAAGCCCTGGGGTCAAAATTGGCCCCGCCCCAGGGGGTTATTGATTTTCCCTATATACATATGGTAAAACCTTAAAAAATCTTCTTTTAAAGAACCCATAGAGCTAGAGCTAAGATATTTGGCATGAAACATCTTCTAGTGAGTGTCTACCAAGTTTGTTCAAATCAAAGCCCTGGGGTCAAAATTTGCCCCGCCCAGGGGGGTCATTGATTTTCCCTATATGCATATAGTAAAAACTTAAAAAATCTTCTTTTAAAGAACCGTAAGAGCTAGAGCTTAGATATGAAGCATGAAACATCTTCTAGTGAATGTCTACCAAGTTTGTTCAAATAAAAGCCCTGGGGTCAAAATTGGCCCCGCCCCAGGGGGTCATTGATTTTCCCTATATGCATATAGTAAACACTTAAAAAATCTTCTTTTAAAGAACCCAAAGAGCTAGAGCTAAGATATTAAGCATGAAACATCTTCTAGTGAGTCTCTACCAAGTTTGTTCAAATTAAAGCCCTGTGGTCAAAATTGGCACCACCCCGGGGGTCATTGATTTTCCCTATATGCATATAGTAAAAACTTAAAAAATCTTCTTTTAAAGAACCATAATAGCTAGAGCTTAGATATTTGGCATGAAACATCTCCTAGTGAATGTCTACCAAGTTTGTTCAAATAAAAGCCCTGGGTCAAAACTGGCCCCGCCCCAGGGGGTCATAGATTTTTCCCTATATGCATATAGTAAAAACTTAAAAAATCTTCTTTTAAAGAACCCAAAGAGCTAGAGCTAAGATATTTAGCATGAAACATCTTCTAATGGATGTCTACCAAGTTTGATCAAATAAAAGCCCTGGGGTCAAAATTGACCCCGCCCCAGGGGTCATTGACTTTCCCTATATGCATATAGTAAAAACTTAAAAAATCTTCTTTTAAAGAACTCAAAGAGCTAGAGCTAAGATATTTAGCATGAAACATGTTCTAATGGGTGTCTACCAAGTATGTTCAAATAAAAGCCTCATTGATTTTCCTTATATGTGTATAGCAAAAACTTAAAAATCTTCTATGAAAAAACCCAAATAGCTAGAGTTTAGATATTAAGCATGGAACATCTTTAAGTAAATATCTACAAAGTTTGTTCAAATAAAAGCCCGGGGGTCAAAACTGGCCCTGCCCCAGGGTGTCATTGTTTTTAACTATATGTGTATAGTAAAAACTTTAAAAATCTTCTTTTAAAAAACCCAATGAGCTAGAATTTAAATGTTTAGCATGAAACATCCTCTTATGGGTGTCTACCAAGTCTGTTCAAACAAACAAATAAAAGCCCTTGGGTAAAAAAATGGCCCAGGGGTGGGGGGGCCTATATACAGGTGAGCGACCTCAGTGCCATCATGGCCCTCTTGTTTAATTTTTCTTCGAGAGAAAATATATCTTGACATGAATAGGAACATGTTTTATTCATGTCCTTTATCTATATATTACATTCTCATGATAATGCTATCTTCATAAAGTACATAAAGTGTTAGTGGTAGGATGTCATGTCAGTTAGTGGTTAGAACCATTGGTCAATAGAACATCTATTGACGAAAAGTGTCTACTATAATAAACTTCTCATGTTTTTATGATTAATTATTATATATATATATAGGTATTTAAACTAACATTTATTTTATTATAATCTGTGATATATCTAAAACAAAGAGTGCATGTATAGTGTTTTACGCATGACAAACTGTGAAATCTACTTTAAAACATTCATGTATATGTATATATGTATTTATTTTATCAGTTATTATGTTACTGTTTTTATCTTTTGTCTCTGATACCATATGGCTTTATTGATATCTAAGGTTTAAACATTATAAATAGAAGCTTACCATTTTACCTATATTTTGTTATCCCAATTGGTAGCACGTCCATATGTCAGTCCGTGACAAAACTTTCCCAGACTACTCCTCAAAAACTACTGGTGCAATTTTATCCAAACTTTCTGAAATTAGTTATATTGATATGCTTCAAGATGAGTAAAATTACATTTAAAAAAAATTGAGATGTATAATTATTTAAAGATTAATTTTTTTTTTACTTTATTCAATCCTGGAGACACCTTGAATGTTGAATGTATTACTCTGAATATAACATAGTTTACTATTTTTATCATTTTATCAACTTGGTTTTCTGTACAATTGTGGTGTAATTGCTAATGCCATTGCGGTCTGAAAACTTTGATGATAATTTTGTTATTTCTTAATGAACTGTGATGGCAACCTTCAAGAAGATCAGACTAAACTTAGTCTTGTCTTGTAAATGACCTGTGTAAAATCCTTGCACACTCTATTTCTTGAAAAAGAAGAAGCCTAGGTTTGTGTAACATAGCAGGGACATTGCCCTTTGCCAATAGATGACCCCTAATGATTTTGAGGTCATTAGGTCAAAGATCAAGGTCACAAGGCACTTAATGAATAATCCATGTCTGCTCTATAATTTGAAATGGAATAAGCATAGGTTTTAAAAAATGGAAGTAACATTGTTATATTTTAAAATGTACTGTATTAACAACTTCTTTAAACTAGTTGACTTTGTTTATAGTTGGTTTATTGTTTTAATGACATACATGTATTTTGTTTTATAACTTTATATTTTAGTGTAAATGTTTGTTTATTGTCTGTAGGTAGTTTTCATGTACATTTTAATATTTGAATATTGTTTTTATATTCAAATAAGTGAATAAAATAGTTGAAAACGATGATAATGTATTTAGTTAGAAATTAATGTGCTATGAAACTGAAAGGTGCATAGCAAAGCCGCTGCGGAATTTGTGTAATAGATTTGTCCGTCTTGTATTTGAAACAGTCCTTTCTGAGTTTATAAATATATTTTGCTCAAATAAAATATCTATTAATACTGATAATTGCTATACAACTCTTCTTAAATGTAAAATTAAAATCTTTTAAGTTCATTCTGGAGGTCATAGGTTTTCCTTATATGTATACAGTAGAAACTTAAAAACTCTTATCTGACATGACAAAGGTTGGAGGTTAGATATTTGGCATGAAACATTGTGTAGTTGCTCTCTACCAAGTTTGATCAAATTTTGGCCCTTAGGTCAAAATTTGCCCTGCCCCAGGGCCATAGATTTTCATTACAAACGTAAGTTTAGTAAAATGTTATGGGAAAATTATCCTTTGAAGCTTCAAAGGCTAGAGCTTGGATATTTGGCATGAAACATTGTGAACCTCTACAAAGATTGTTAAGTTTATGGCCCTAGGGACAATATTAGTTCTGACTTCTGGGGGTCATGCGTATTCTTTATATACATTAAACAGAAACAAACAAAAATCTGAAAAGGAGAAAGCAAGAGCTTAGATACTCCATAAAAACATTGTCTGGTTGACCTGTATCCAAATTAAGATTAAAGCCTTTGGGTTAAAATTTTGCCCTGCCCAAGGGGACACAGTGACCTACTTTCTTGTCCATGGATACACAGCTATGAAATTTGGACCATGTGCACAGTTCGAGATGTAAAAATGAACTTTTAATGTTAGCTGACCCAGATTTTGACAAGTGACCTACTTTCTTGTCCATAGATATACAGCTATGAAATTTGGACCATGTGTACAGTTGAACTTTGATATCAGCCGACCAAGATTTTGATGATGTGACCTACTTTCTTGTCCTTTGATGTATAGCTACGAAATTTGGACCATGTGCACAGATTACTGTAAAGTCATTACTAGTTGTGGAACACGAATTTTTGTGTTTTTCATGGGTAGGTAAATTCACAAATTAAGATCCAACAAAATATACCATTATACCAACAAATACATGTCTCTATTCTATATATTACAAACATGCATCAGATTTCATCAGATTTTTTCCGGAGTAACATTATATTTTAATTATGATCAATTTTCAATGCAGACCCCTATCTGTTAAATTATGAACTACCCACTTGTTAAAAATTGACCAACAACTATTCACAGGCAGTATGAAAACTGATCGCAATAATGGCCATACAGATTGATCTAAATATTTCTGTTGTCTTTTCAGACATTCTGTTAACATTCTAATTTCTTGTCATGCAGCACAGACTCT